ACTTATTTAACATATTTTGGAATGTTCAAGGACTTATTTAACATGTTTTGGAATGTCTAAGGACTTATTTGTTCCAAAAAAAAGTTCAAGGACTTAATCATTCCAAACAAGAAAGTTCATTGGTTTTTATTGTACTTTTCCCTTGAATGTTCATACATTGTTCTTGAGTGTTCATCATTTTATTCATCTAAACACTATAATTTGGTTATTCTTAACTTGATTATTAGTGTTATTGAGAGATCTGGGATCAACAGCTTTGAAAGGTCTCGTTAGTAATTTCAATGTCGTTGTCACTTCAAAGCTATTGAACTGGAAGTTGTAGAAGAACCTGGATACGCTTGATGAATGCAATTATCAGCTCAAGTGCATCAGATTTGGCTCTTAGAAACTCTAGCCACGTGTATCTGGAATACTCATCGACTATCACCAATATGTACTTTTTGCTTCCTAGAGATTGAGCACGCACTGGTCCACACAGATCCATATGAATCATTTCGAGAGGAGATTTACAAGACGAAACAGATTTTGCTTTATGTGAAGATCTTGTAATCTTTCCCATTTCACATGCAGAACAGAGAGAATTCTTGTCGTACCTGAGTTCTGGCAGACCAATTACTAAATCACTGCTTACAAGCTTATTAATATCTTTGAAGTTCTGATGAGATAATCTTCTATGCCATGTCCAACTTGTAACACCCCCAAAACTCACATTGCATATAACACATATTTCATTCATAGAATACATGCTCAATCCCACAAAGGTCCATAATACAAGAGTCTATAATACAAAATACACAACTCAAAAATTCCAAAATACATGCTCTTGTATCCATAACATCTATTCTCAAAAACACATCCAAATATGATCTTCATAAAGCTAAGCACATAGGGAAATAATTCACATTTTCCCTTTTCCTTTACTATCATTATAATTTGCATTTCCTGCAACACATATTTGAAAACAGGGTTAGACCTAGAGGTTTTGTGAGATTACCTTTTTTTCCATGTAGTTGCAGGGTGATAACCACCAAAACATTTATTCAAATAAAATCATTTCACATCTCAATATGTAAATTCCACATTCTGTTTGAGTCCATCAAACCTCTGGTTCCAAAGACCAGACTTAGAAAATATTTCAACGAATAAGAGGACCAAAGCTCCTCTGGTTCCTCTACTAGAGCTTCTGGTTAAGCCAACCAGAGCCTCTTAGGTAAAATTCTCAAAACATTCATCGATCAATCTCATAGATAATAAAATAGCTTTTCCAAAGATAAAAAAACATTTTGAAAAAGGATTTTACATGATCAGAGCTCTGGTTCTACTAGCCAGAGCTTCTGGCTCAAAATGCAAGAACAACCAGAGCTTCTGGTTCAACCCGTGTAGGCCAACCAGAGCCCCTCTGGTCTGTCTTTTGTTGTAAGAAACTTCTAAGTATAAAAACCTTTTGAAAATTCTTTTAAAATATCATTTTGATACAGAGCTCTTATCTATAGATACAGAGCCTCTGGTTTAACTAAAACATTTTAGCAAAGACTTGCATAACTTCCAAATCCACGACCAGAACCCTCTGGTTCTACTATGAGGACCAACCAGAGCCCTTTTGGTTCCTTTCAAGGAACAACCAGAGCCTCTCTGGTTCCTCTAAAATCAAACCTTTGATCCAAAATAGATTTTATCCAATACCAATGGCCATAGGCCAAGTTTTCCCCTTCTTAATAACATCAATACTATCATTTCTAATAAGAACAACATTTCTGAGTCCTCAAATCACAAAGAAGTAAGAACTCAAATCTATTGTAATCTTAAAAGACATAATAGTAAGAGCTATAATAACCACACACAAATGCCCCACCCTTATCCCATGGTACACCTCTCCTTCATATGCCACCCTTATTTTCTCATCAAAATCTTTGGATTAGTTCCAAACGAAGACAGACCAAAGTCTCAACTGTCTTCATGAAACAGCCTCCATAGTTTTATCTACAAAATCTACAAATTAATCCCAAACGAAGACAAACCGAAGTCACAACCGTCTTGATGAGATGTTCTCTATAATTTTCAACCAATAATGGTTTCAAAACAGTTTTATCATCAAAACTTTCAACTCAAGAACAATCTGTTCTTTCAATGATTTCAAAAAATTTCATATCTCCTTTAAATCCTTAAAAACAGGATATCATTTCCAAACATCAAATCTCCTTTAAATTCTCAAAACAGAATATTATTTATAAAACTGTTTTAAAGAAACAATCTCTTCTTTATCTTTCCAGAACAGTTTCCAAAACCCAAATTCATAAGACTCATCTTAAACTGTTAAAAACAGTTTTACTAACCTTTCTTTAAAATCGAACATCAAAACCCAGCAATTTATATATAACAATATATAAAGGTTTTTAGTTATCAAAACTCACCTTATCAAGCACAAATTCTGTAGATTCAACATACAACAAATCTTTAAACCACACAGAATCTTCAAATCACTTTTGTTCAAAACTCTTCTCACGAACACTTCCACCGCCACAAGCACCTTTTCTATCTCAAAAGGTTTCTTTTCAAAATAAGATGATAAGATAAGATCTTATCTCTTTTACATTCTTTATATATTTTCACCAAGGCGGTGGCGAACTTTTGTTATTATAAAATAGTTTGGGCGGTGGTCGTTTTATTATTTAAATCAACCTTACTTTATTATGAAGATATCGCATCTTCATATTTATAAAATAATATAATCCACGTATGCTTTACACCATATATGCACACACCTAATTCATATATGCACACACCTAATTCATATATGCACAGTAACAACTTTTCTCAAATACACATACTATTCATGCACTTAATTTAATATCATGCATGTCATCACATAATTCACATAATAACCATATATAAGTTACCTCAACCCAGGTTGTCTGAAATCCGGTTATAACACAACTGTCTTCTTTTGTTGTTTTGGAGATTTAGCAAACAGGCTTAGAAGCAGCCAGAGTTGGAAAATTAACCGCATATAGATTACCTTAACGTTCCACACAAATATCTCAATCCCTTCAAAGTCAATAATGATACAACCACTGATGAAGAACTTTACATCAAACCCAATATCCCAAAAATTACTAATACTCAAAAGATTATGCTCTAAACCCTCGAACAAAACCTTTCTCTTTGTTCCCAAACGTGGCTGTTCCGCCAAGCTTTTCTTTAAAGTCAATCAGAAGGTGCCTGTGTCATGTCATGTGTCTTGAACATCCTGAATCTACGTACCACACATGACAGTCTTGAAAAAACAATCACGGAGATTAAGTACCCATTTCCAAAGGGGTCCTTTTGGGTTAGAAGAAACAGTGGATCATATGGATTTAACGCGCCATTCATATTTTGCTTTCGGCACCCATTTCCGAACAAATCTTTCATTTACCAAATATGGCTCCTCCTTTTTAAACTTAGAAACATCTTTCTTGAAATCACTTTTCTTTTTAGCAAATGGAGGACCATTGAAAGTTTGAAATCTTCGATCTTAAATGCTTTTTACACTTGACATTAACTGCAAGGGAGTTTGACCCACAATAATTGCAATGTATATGACATTTAGAAACAGATAAAAGATCCAGATGTGAAAAGTTTTTAACATTCTTGAGATCAGCATCCGGATTATATTTTGGCTTTAAAAATTTACAATTGCAACTATTTTTATTCATAAAAACATTCTTTACAAAAGAAGAATTATTAAAAGCATTTTTGACAACATTCTTCTGTGAATACTTTATGTTGCAATTGTTACCGATCTTTAGCAATTCTTCCATAGAAAAAGATTTTGCGTTAGTAGAGCGCTTAGCAGATAACAATTCAGATTTAATATATTTTACATTCAAAACAAGTTTGACGGATTTGGGAGTAGCCTTAGAATTAGTTTTATAATTTGAAGGCTCTCCTCTTCAAATTTACTTTCAGAAAGATTTATATTATCAATGCAGTTGTTTTTGAATTTGAGGCAATCTGAACATCTTCTAAATTTATGACAACTGATTTTGAAGGTGTTTTGAGATCCTCCTCAAGCTTACTGATTTTACTCATAAACTGAGTTCTATCATCAAAACATGAACTTAATTCTTTTTTCAGATTGGACGCAAGCAAATTATTTTTGTAGACAATAAGCATGGTCAACTCATAAATTTTACTTTCAAATTCACTTGATATGGTCAGAAAATCATTTTGAGATTTAAAATGTAAATCTTTTTCAGCTTTCGGTTCATCTTCAAGATCATAAATTTATTTTTCTATGACAGATATTTTCAAATTTGAATCAAATTTTAGGTTAGAATGCACTTTTTAGTCCTGATCAGTAATCTCTTATGTCTTATCAGAGTCATAAATCACCTCTGTTTTCGAATCAGATTCATTTAAAAGATTTTCAAACCTTTCAGGAGTCATTGATTCTACAAACTAGAAAAGTTTTTCAGAAATATTTTGAGATGATTCAAAAACAGATGAAGTTTTATTTTAAAAATTATCAGTTAGGTACAATGAATCAAGATCTGTATGTATAAAATAGTTTTTCTCGTCTAGTAGCTTGAGTTCAGATTATCGTATAGTCCAACTAACTTAAAACTTGATTTTTCTGAAAAATCTTCTTCTGATTTATCATTATCATCTTTGTCAAAAATAGGTGATTCAAATTCTGACTTGACAAAGATTTCCTTTACAGTAAGAATTGCAAATTTGGTTGATCCCCATTTATCAAAATCATACAAAGATTTAGGGGCCTTTTTCAAAGTTCCATTTTCAGAGTAACCCAAACCCATTTAAGGATTATAAAATCTAATATCTTTTGGGTTCTTTGTCAAAAAAATTAGTGTCTGTTCAGACTGACCCCTTTTGTAAATAATATCTTCCAACTATTTTTTGTCATAAAGATTCAATCTTTCAGCAAAAATCACATCAAATTTAAGTTGAATATTATCTTGTTCGCACTCAATTTCACTCAGCCTCTTTTTAAGTAGTAAACATTCATTTTCAGTTTTTGTCTTTTCTGACTTCAGAATTTCTTGCTCTTCCCTCATACCCTCACTCAAACACTTATACTCGCAACTTTCTTCTCTAAACTTAAGCATCAAATTCCTTTCTCCTTTTAATCTCTCTTTCAAAATTTTAAACTCAGCATTCATGTTTTCTATTTCTTTCATCAACTCATCAGTTAAAGAATCATTTACCTCATATTCGTTCTCAGATGATGAGCCTTCAGCTTTAGTCCTAACCATTAAGCACATGTTGACTTGAGTAAAATGAGCAGCTTCATCATCTAAAAAATTGATCAGCCAGCTTTCTTTTTCCGCAACCAAGGCCTTTCCATCCTTAAGGGATTTTGCTAGATTAGCCTTCTTGAGATAGTAGTTTGAGTCTTTAAACTTTTTGAACACGCAATCCTTGATGAAGTGACCAGGCTTTCCACTGTTGTAACTTCTCATCTCTTCAACTTTAACTTCCCTCTGGTCTCTAGCTTTTACAAACTTCTCAGGCTTGACCTCCTTCCCTTTGGTTTTCTCAAACTTACCAAACTTCTTCTTACCAAATCCATTTTGAAACTTCTTGGTCAGCAACGCAAGTTTCTTTGAGAACTTCCTAATGTCATCATCAGAATCAGTAGAGGAATCTTCAGTTGATTCACTTTAGATCTGTTCTGACAACTCTGTCTTCAAAGACTTAGAGCACTTTCCTTCAGATTTTCCCTTACCTTGCTTACCTGACAGCAAAGTTAAGGAGTCAACCACCTTCTTCTTTTCTGACATCAACTCTCTTACAGTTTCCTCTTACTCATATAGAATGCTATACAAATCATGTATGTCCTCCTCTGACATATTTTTATTCATTTGCATATTTACTACAAGAGAGTTCCATTCTGACTTCAAATTCTTCAAAAACTTATAATTAATCTCAGACATTGACTTCTGAATACCATTCCTCCTTAGGCCATTCAGAATCACATTGAACCTATTGTATGATTCAGTAATTGATTCGTTCTCTCGAGCTCTGAATCCTTCATATGTACTGGTTCATCCTAGTCTAGATTGACTTTTCACTTGCCAACATCTGCTTCTCCAATTCATCCTAGAGTTCTTTAGTTGGACCTATACTGTCAATTTGGTTGAAAAGTTCATTTGGAATGGCCATCAACATATATGTCAAAGCGTTCTATCAATGAGGACCCTTTGTTTCTCAGTTTCAGTGTAGTAATGTGGATCTTTCTTTCTATTTGAAGTAGGCACAACAATTCCTTCAACGGAAGTTTGTTCTGGTAGATCCACTTAACTGACATACGGTCCATTCTTGATAGATTCCATTAATTTCTCATCCTCGTTATCTAGAAAATGAACCAACCGAACTTTCCATTGCATATACTCTCACAACAGGAACTGGGGGCTTGGAGTCTGAACCTATGCTCAACATATCTTTCGACATTTTTAAGACTTGAAAATATGATCTTTTTCAGATAATGGACAAGGACTGGATTTGAAAATACAACACACACAAATGAATTTCTTGACACTTAAAAAGTTCAACAACGTTCTCTTATCTGACAAAGAATTAGAGTTGTCGGACAACAAAAGAATGCTTATCGGACAAGTGTTCAAAGATATCGGACAGATAAGGAATGCTTATCGGACAAAAGTTCAAAGTTATCAGACAAGCAAGGAATGTTTATCGAACACAAAGTTCAAAGTTATCGGACAAGGAAGGAATGTTTATCGGACACAAAGCAATATGCTTATCGCACAACAAAGTTATTGGATAGACTTGACTAGACACACTTTATCGGACACGCTTAAACAAACGAACTTGTGACCGATTAGAGAGTTATCGGACAAAAACGTGATCGGTAAGAAAGATATTGGACAAAAAAGTATCCGATGAAGAACACTTGGATCAATTTGTACAATGAAACTGTGATAACCGGATTCTGGTTATCACCTAAGGTAATTAATATGTGATTATTTGATTAAATGATTATGTGATAGCATGATAAATTGTTATGTTTGATCATACTGGTATGTGAAAATATGCATAATTTAGATGCATAAATGAGATTATGTTTATATATGTGATATGCATGCATGTAGTTGCATATGTGCATGAGTATATATATATATATATATATATATATATATGAATGATAGTGTGAATGCATGCATAAGAGACGGCTGTGTTAACCGCCTTTCCAGTTTTGGAAAGTATAAAAGGGAGGTTGAGCCTCCATATTTCTCTTCTTACTTTGGTTAAAAAGTTGTGCGATTTAAAAAGATAAGAGAAGTGGACCGGATTATTCTTGTCTGGAGATTCAAGGGGTTGATTTCAAAAGCTTGTTAAGGTGAGTAATTTCTAAACTCTTTTGCATAAAATTGTTACTGATTTTATTTGAATCTTGTTTATATTTGGAAAGAAATCAGTCTTTTGCTCAAAAGGTTTATCCGGATTTTAAATCGGACAAAAATGTTGATTTGGATTCTAAGTATTAATCGGTCAAGCCTTGTGCGGTGTGTTGTCCGGATTGTTTTAAATCGGACAAAGGTTAAACGAGGTATTGTCCGGATTGTTTTAAATCGGACAAAGGTTAAACGAGGTATTGTCCAGATTGCTTTAAATCGATCAAACCTTATGCGGGGAATTGTCCGGACTTGTTATCCGGACAAAGATAATTTTGATTCTAAGTGTTAAATCGATTAAGTTTTATGCGAGGTGTTGTCCGGACTAGTTATCCGGACAAAGTTGGAATAAATTCTAAAGTGTTAATCGGACAAAGTTTATGCTATGTGTTGTCCGGATAGTTGACCGGAGTTGAAGTCCGGCTAAATCAAGTGACCGGATTTGATGTAATGTTGTGTTTTCAATGAGAAATGTTATTTTATCATAAAAAGGAAGTTTTGAAAGAAATATTTTTGTGTTGATAATAATTTCAATGGTTGCAGTTTATTTGAAATTATT